GCCCTGTGAGGTCCACTTTAAAGGGGCTGAGTTTAAACCCCAATGGGCCTGAGCACGGGTTTGGGCCTCACGAGGTCTACTATGAAGGGACCGAATTTACACCTCGGTGGGCCCAAGCACAAATGGGCGGGGCCGTGCTACATGGGGCCCACTTAGATAGGTACCCACATGACCCACTTTGAGTGGGACCAGGATGACCCACCTTGAAGGCCCCCGCATGACCCACCTTGAACGGGAAGCCCTTGGGGACGGCGATGGCATAAGTGTCGGTGGCGACCGCGTCTCCAGCGGCGGCCCTCAGCCTGCAGGCGGCGTCCGTCCCGCGTAAGAAGTCCAGCACGGCGGAGTCGCCCAGCAGCAATTCCAGCTGCCCGGACCTGCCCAGTAGGAATCTAGACAAGCTCAGCAAGGTATCCTATCAGGCTCAACAAAGTATCCTATGGGTATCCTATTTTGCTCATTCCTGGTGAGCAAAAACCTGTAATTTCTGGGCTGTCTCTCCCTTGAGTTTCTGGGCTGTCTCACCTGAGTTTCTGGGCTGTCTCACCTGAGTTTCTGTGCTGTCTCACCTGGGTTTCTGGAAGGGTACCTCGTACCTGTGGAGGGAAGGTACATCGTACCTGTGGAGGGGAGAGGGTACGTCGTACCTTTGGAGGGGGGGGTACCTCGTACCTGTGGAGGGGGGAGGGTACCTCGTACCTGTGGAGGGAGGGTACATCGTACCTGTGGAGGGGAGAGGGTACGTCGTACCTTTGGAGGGGGAGGGTACCTCGTACCTGTTGAGTGGAGAGGGCACGTTTTACCTTTGGAGGGGAAGGGTACCCCGTACCTGTGGAAGGGAGAGGGTACCTCGTACCTGTGGAGGGGGGTTGATTCCAAGTACCTCAGGAGAGGAGAGGGTAACAAGTACCTGTAGGAAGTACCAGTCACGCACCTGAGGCTTATACATGCCGGCGGCGATGGAGTAGCAGGGCAGGTCGCTGTACCACTTATCCCTGAGGTGGTCCAGGTACCCTGTAGCCTGGTACTCAGATACCAGCACGTCCAGCGCACCCTGCCCACAATGAGCACAATAAGCGTACCAGTAAGTACCAGTCAGCATTACGCGCGTACCAGCAATGCACCTGTCAGCCTACGTGGAAAAAATCTGACTCAAATCTATTATTATTTCAAAATTATTTACATTATGAATTCAAATACTTTTGAATTCAAGTGATTTTTCCATGAAAAGTTAGATTAGGCCCTGCGAGGTCCACTCTGAAGGGACCAAATTTACACCCCGATGAACCCAAGCACGGGTGGGTAGGCCCGTGCCCCACAGGGTCCACCATGAAGGGGTTGAGTTTCAACCTCAAAGGGCTTGAGCACGGGTTTGGGCCTCACGAGGTCCACTATGAAGGGACCGAATTTACACCTCGATGGGCCCAAGCACGAATGGGTGGGGCCGTGCTACATGGGGACCAATAAGATTGGTGCCCACATGACCCATTTTGAGTGGGACCAGGATGACCCACCTTGAAGGCCCCCGCATGACCCACCTTGAAGGCCCCCCGCATGACCCACCTTGAACGGGAAGCCCTTGGGGACGGCGATGGCATAAGTGTCGGTGGCGACCGCGTCTCCAGCGGCGGCCCTCAGCCTGCAGGCGGCGTCCGTCCCGCGTAAGAAGTCCAGCACGGCGGAGTCGCCCAGCAGCAATTCCAGCTGCCCGGACCTGCCCAGTAGGAATCTAGACAAGCTCAGCAAGGTATCCTATCAGGCTCAACAAAGTATCCTATGGGTATCCTATTTTGCTCATTCCTGGTGAGCAAAAACCTGTAATTTCTGGGCTGTCTCTCCCTTGAGTTTCTGGGCTGTCTCACCTGAGTTTCTGGGCTGTCTCACCTTAGTTTCTGAGCACCCTGCTCAAAAGAGTCCACCATGTAAGGCTGCATGTGTTGCAGCAGCGCAGGGTTGCTGAGGCGCGCGTAGAACTCAGTCGAGCTGCCGCGGACGCACCCAACTCGCTGAGTCAGTAACTGCACAACACGGCCAATAATCACTAGAAATTCTGTGAACATTATTAATGTCAGTTATGATTCGAAAATCAGTTTTTAACAGTTAACATCTAACATTTCTAAGATTCAAGATAGTCAGTATTTATAAGTAAACATTTGAAATTTTAAGGTCAGTCAAGATTCGAGAGTATGTTTTTAACATTTGCACTCAACATTTTAAGGTAACTTGTGATTCGTGGATGAGCAGTAGAGGTATAAAGACATTTGAGCAGCAAATTTGAGTGGTAAAACAATATTTTGCAGCAAAATATGTGTCGAAATTATTATGCTGCAAAAAATGGTGGCAAAATAATTTAGCAGAAACATTGCACGGTTTAGCAAAATGTGGGTGGCCGCATTTGTCAGTAGCATATATGGCTTTCTCAAATTAAAATTTGTGATAGCGCGAATCACTATTTGTACAAAAATTGCAAATTACAATTTGTGATAGTCATAGCTAATCATTTCAAAATAATTGAGCAGAAGAGGAGCGTTGCTGAAGGACCAAGCAATAAAGAATATGCATTTTGGAAACACTTACACCACGCTGTGTTTGCCCCCGTCCTAAACCAAATTAATTCACTCCAGTTCTCTCCATAATTAACGAAAAAAATATTATTACATAAAGTAAGGCCACAAAATCCACTTGAAATAATTAAGTCAAGTAATAAAACCGAGGCACATCAAATGATATCCACTTCAATTTTGTAATCACGAATAAAAGCAACACGAACGTTCCCAATGATGTCAATCACTTAATTTATCCCAATTGATTAATAAAAAACACTAAACTAGTTTCCATTGATAGCAATCACTCAATTGATACCAATTGATTAACAAATAACAATAAATCAGTTTTCATTGATACCAATCACTTAATTGATACAATTGATTAACAAATAACAATAAATTATATTTCATTGATACAGATCACTTAACTGATACCAAATTATTTACAAATAACAAAAAACTGGATTTCATTGATATCATTTGACTAATAAATAGCCATAAATTATATTTCATTGATACCAATCACTTAATTGATACCAATTGATTAGCAAATAACAATAAATTAGATTTCATTGATACCATACCCTGTCTCTTATACACATA